TCTGGTTCAATGACGTCACTTTCGTGAAGCACATTTGTAGTCCTGGACATATTTTCACACAAAACCTAAAATAACGTTTCTCCCCCAGTCAAAAATAGCACTTTCTTGGTATCAAAATGTGTCTTTAAAATTCATGGACATCATATGTGAAATCCATGGCACATAATAGGGATGTGTATTGGTGAAATTCTGGCGATATGATACGTATCACGATGCAGGGGAGACAATATGATGCATCACGATATATTGCGATACATTCAGCCAGATGATATTAGCGATTTTTTTTATTCTGAATTTATTGTAGGAAAATTCAATGAACAGTCCAAACTGATACGTAACATATTTACCATGAGGTATACCTTACCATACCATACCAATTTTTTTATAAAGCACCATTTAAAAATAACATGGCAGCTAACCAAAATGCTGTACAAAAAGAGCCAAATGCTCGAACATATCAGCAAAACAAAGTGAAAGCATGGAAATCAGGTAAAATACATAAAGACATAGCATACATAATCAAGGATAAAAATTCATACTAATAACTAACAGAATAAGAGAACAAGTAAAAGGTAACAGCATTATCCAAAGTAAAAAATAATGCAGCGAGTGATAAAACCATTTGAAATAGCACAAATAACCTGCACCATAAAAGAGGGATTTACATTTCAAACAAAGCCCATTGCACACTGCTGCTAACTAGCGATTCAACGTTTGAATTGCACAAAAAGAAAAGAAAATACACTAAGATGATATATTATTGTATATATACAATTATATATATATATATATATATATATATATATATATATATATATAATTGTATTCTAATATTTATTCTATTTGTGTCCAGGGAGAAAAAGAGACAAAGAGGCATCACACACACACACACACACAAACATATATATATATATATATATATATATATATATATATATATATATATATATATATATATATATATACATATACATATTATATATAAAAAATATATATATAATAAAAAGGTTGCTGACTGAGTAATCAAGAAACTAATCTTTTTTAAAGCATAAAACATTTTCTTTGTGTTAAATCTTAACCTACTTTATTTGATATAACAGAATTATTAATCAGGTAAATAAACTAACTTTAATATCTTTTATCTTTACGGTAAAGCAGACCCTCAGAGCTGTCGATGATCCCTGACTGCTGACGTGTGTACCAGCTGTGCTACAGAGGCGTAACTTGGTGTGTCCTGCCATTTCCTGAGTTAAAATTGAAAGATGAAGAGCTTCAACCTTGCCACCATGCCTCTTGTGAACACAAGTCATTTTTGTGTGCAATTTATTTTTGCATTTTAGGTGCCTACCTCCATCTGACTGTAGCATTTGTATAAACGGGTTACAAAGTTAATTAAGTTGTTTGATAAGCCATCTTGTCTTTATTAGATGGCACATAGCTGATCACATTTAAAACTAGGAGCCAATGATGGGTATATTAGAGCATCATGGTGCAATAAGCTATACTTTTATGAATGACACGATTAGTCGACTAATCGTCAACAAAAATGGCTATTAGTCGACTACTAAAATAGTCGTTTGTGGCAGCCCTCATTTCTTTCATTTGCTGGAAAAAACTTTACATTCACCAAACTGCAGCTGAAACAAGAAATGCATGAAAGCAGCCAAAAAAGGGTTTGGGTGTATTCTTCTTGAGGAAATGACAATATAACATGATAAAAAGCTCCAAAAAGTGGATTTTTCCTAAAATGGAACCTTTAAATTACATTAAGCCTAAGAGAAAGGCCCTTATCAATAAATAACTTGTTCTTAAATATTGAAGATGCTGTCACAAGTTTGGTAAATGCAAAACGTTTCACTGTGAGGATGAAACCAAATGAAATACGTGTTACATTTATATTTTATTTAAGGTGAATAAACACACCCCTGCACCACTGATGTGGATGATTCTGCACCAGGACAGATAATAATCTGACATTGGGCTTTTCAAGAAGTAATGAAGGCTGAAGGCTAGGATGTGTGGTAGTTGGTGTTTGGAGACGGGTTTAAAGCAACAAACTGATTTAGATTCAATTAATAAAAAATAAAAACACTCATAAAACCAGAACTCCTCAGTAACACAACAGCGATGACATGTTTACCCTGACCGAGACATGACCAACCTGACTAATCAGCCCGCGACGCCAGTCAAAACTAAAGCTCTGCGGGCTAAAGCTCTGAATTTGATCATGGGTTGAACTCCAACTCCACCAAGAACTTCATGTGTAAGCAAGAGGTCCATTTGCACTTTAAACCAAAAGTGAGAAGGTTAGTTGAGCAGCTTTTTACTAGGCTGATTTGTGTTTATCACAAAGGACGGGAAGGATCATTGTTGCATGTTATAAAAGCACCATTTCTGCAGCCATGTTGTTATATTATTGTGCTGCACATTCACATAGTAAAGAGGTCATAATAAATAAACACTGATTGATACCAAACTCTGAGCTTCCTCTAACTCCTCATGCCTTGTTTCATGACCACCTTGCTCGGTAAATGTGAAGGGCCTTCTGATGTTCACACTTAAAACATCACTACAAGAGTTCAGAGCCATAAAACCGGCAATTACTTGTTTTAAGGCTCTGAATTAATTGCAAATACCAACACTCAGCTACTGAACAAAAGGTCGAACGAGGGGCAAAAACTAATTAAAAATAATAACCTGACAAAAAGCTTCTAGTCAATGTGATGGTGCGAACAAACTATTAACATCCACAGCTGACTTATTGGACATTAAATCATTGTCCAAGTAGTTTCATCAAAATGTTTCATAAAGAATGCACTGAGAGAAACACACCAGGTGTGTTTGTGTGGGTGTGCGCAGCACAGGTGGAACTTCAGAACTCCTGCAAGATGAATTCAAGTGTAGCAGCTTTACTTAACAGGAGCAGATTGTCTCTCCAAGATACTCTGGTCCAAACAACCAGTGACTTCCTGAGAGGAGAAGTGTTTTTTCAGCCATGTGCAGAGAGCATGAGTGCATTTCAGGAGCTATACCAAAACAGAGTTGGTCTGATTTTATGACCTAGAAATACAGTTTTCAGTTTCCTCTGTGCACCGGGAAATCACATGGCATACTAATAACGTAAACTTAAGTGTAAGTGTTCGTTCTAAAGGCAGACACGTTCAAAAATCTGTTTTGATTCAATGTGTGAGGTAAAAATAATTCATGGTTCTGTATAGCAGCCGTCTAGATGCAGAACCCGGAGCGTTTTTTATTCAACATACAGTGTGAAAATATCTGAGCTGAAATAAAAAATCAACTCACTGACTGACAGCAAAACAACAGCCAACCATGATCATAATAATTATTGATTAAAGTCAAGCAAAAGTCCAAAAATAAGCAGTGAGTGCCCCAACGTATCAGCTTTTTCATTTGATCTTTTCCTCGTCTCTTTGAAATGTTAAAATAAACATTTTAACTCTGATGGTCTGATCACCTGTCACATCAAATTTAGACATTTTACAGGGTGTTAATAGAACACAGTTTGCACCTCTGTTCCAAATGGTTTGACTTGTAGTTTGTAAATGAAATGGAAGAATTAAATGTTTAAATTAGAGAACAAAAGCATGGAAGGACAACTAGTGGATCTTTACAGTAAGAATTTATCTGGCTTGTCAATAAATACAAATCCACTCATTTATTTTGGAATGTGTAGCCTGAACAGAAGCAGCTGGCACAAAGGAGAATGTAAAGATCCACAAATACTCGAAAGCCAGTGGAAACACAGGGTGGAAAATCTAAAAAAAGACCAAGACTGATCAATACCTGCTAGCTATGCTCTGTAAGGGAAATTAAAACACAACAGCCACGGCCACAGTGATCCGGGAACAACAGGAAAGTAAAATGTGTGGTTTTGGTGGTTTAAGGACATTATTCCATATCAGTTTAACAAACTATTGGTCAAATTGTTGTAATTAAATAGTAATATCTGTTTAAAATGAAGGCGAGTCAAACAGGTGGGATTAAATATAAGACGTTTAAGAAGTTTGGGGTTTCTTCTCAAGTTTAGATTAAATTAAAGATAAAATTCAGTATGTTAATCCAACCATAACAGTTTTATTTTTTAAAGTACCAATATGTAGCTACACTAACATTAATCACACTGTGTCATTGTTTCAATTCAGTCAAGTAATAAAGGTAATTCATAGATTCAAACAGTTATGTTATTAAATAATATATTTACAATTATTTATTAACGAAGAGCTTATTAACCTGTATAAATAATAATAGTAAATCACTTTTTTTCTACTTTAAATGCAGCTTTTTCTTCTCTAGAATTAATATTATGTTATTTTTGACCCAGAGGCTGCAGACCTGACGTTGAAATAACGGTTAGCAGCTGCAGCCGAACCGTTACATGAAGAGGTTCGTTTTTATCAACAGGTAAAAACGACACACAGGTGTTATTACCGGGCACTTAACGTCCATTTCTCCGCACGTAGAGCCGAGCCCGCATAGAGGCAACACATTTAACAACTAACAAACGCTTACTCGTTAATGTAGCGCGTTTTTAAATAAGAATAACGAAGTACGGACGCGCTGTCATCCTGTTCGCACCGCCTCACACTCTGGAGGCTATCGCTGAGGGAGAAACACTCAAGATTTGTTGAAAACGTTGCTTGAACAGGCGTACAACCAAACGCACCGTTATGTGCGTGTGAACTGACGATTTATGGTAAAACAAAACGCGGATACTGAGTACGAGGGAACCGCCAGCTGGTGTTCAGAAGAAAACGGTCCGCTCACCCAAACCAGCGCCTCCTCAGTATCAACATAAACATGTTCGCGCGAGCTTTGGCGCTCGCGGATTCAAAAAAAGTTCCTGCTGTGTTTCGGCGGTAAACCTTAAATCCGAGCAGAACCGAACCTACAGGGGCTTAAGCCACTCCAGAAGTGTGCGCCACCACTATCAGACGCATCTGAACCGGGTAAATCTATCACAATTTCAGGCTGCGCCTTACCTTCAGTTCCGCACTCTCCGCCATCTTCTGTTTCTGTGCGCAGGCGTGTTGTGATATTGTCACGTGACTGAGACGCGCAGAGGAGACGTGAACGCGCATACGGCCATTGTGGCGTGTTTAGGAGCACACATGAAGATAGGAAAATGAAATTATTCAATACATTCAAGTTTTAATGTTTTTATAAGGAACTGAAAGTTGAAAAAAAAATCTGAATCAATGCAAGTTTGGTTACTTTTACATATCTAAAAATGTAATAGTCTCTTGTTTTCAGATTGTGTCATTTACATTTAATTTTCAACACTCAGGGTGGTTGTTTTACTTACTGTCTTTGAATTCTATGGTTGAATTAATAGTCTATGGTTGAATTAATAGTGGAATGATAAATAATATGGTTTTAACTAATACCTGATTATGTTAAATTATTACCAGGATTAATAAAAACCAAAGCTATAATAAATAACACATTTGCTGAGTTTATGAGTAAGTTAGTAAGTAGTAAGTAAATTTTATTTATATAGCACTTATCACAGACATAGAATCACAAAGTGCTTCACATAAATCTAAACAAAATTAAACATAAAGTCATAAAATCATAATGAAACAGATCAACATCAGAAAAAATTAAGTCATAAATTTATAAAATATCATAAAACAAATGAAAGCTGATTACAAAAGTTAAAAATAAGAAAACAAAAGATTTATGTGAATGCAGCTTTAAATAAAAGGTTCATTAGCTGTTTTTTAAAAGTGTCCAGACTGCCAAAACCACATAAGGATCCAAAGTCAGAGTGCAACAATCTGGAAGGAGCGATCACCTTGACTCTTTGGAACTTCTAGAGGGTTCTGATGTGTGGACCTGAGGGCTGGGTTGGAGCATAAGGCTTTAACAGTTCAGTAATATAGGGAGGAGCTTGACCATGTAGAGCCCTGAAAGTTATAGTCCAGATTCTAAAGTTAGCGGGTAACCAGTGCAGAGACATTAGAATAGGAGTGATGTGAGCTCCTCTGTTTGCTCCAGTTGGAAGCCTTGCTGCAGAGTTCTGGAACAACTGAAGGCAGTCAAGGGCTTGTTTGTTAAAGCATACGAAAAGTGTGTTACAGTAATCTAGACGGGAGGAGATAAAGGCATGGAGAACCATTTCAAGTTCATGTTTTGACACAAACCTTTACAGTTTGCAGATATTTCTTAAGTGATAAAAACAGTTTCGGACCAACGTTTTTGAGTGGCCTTCAAGAGACATTAATTGGTCAAAAATAACACCCAAATTCCTAAAGTTTGTCTTTTTGGCAAAAGATAGATGACCAAGTTTTATCAGGGGAACCATGCTCTCAGGGGCAATGATCAGACGTTCAGTCTTTTCTGAGTTTAACTGAAGGAAGTTATCTTCTAGCCAGCTGGTGATAGCTGATAGACACTCTAGTAATTCAGACAGTTTACAGAACTCAGAATCCTTAAAGGAGCAGTACAGCTGAATATCATCTGCATTTAGGTGATAAGAGGCATTTTTGAAAAGAATCAATAATCTGTCCAAGAGGGTGTATGTACAGTAGAAACAACAGTGGACCCAAATGTGAATCGATTTACTGTTGTGCTGCTATAAAGCAGCAGAACGTTTTAAAAGTTCCCGTTTTAGCAAATTGTACTTTTTTTTAAGTATATTTAATTAAGCCTGGGACAATCTTAAAATTATTTATTTGTTTATGTATTTGATAATTGGTTAACTCCTGGTCGGTGATAAAAACAAAACAGATCTCACGATTACTGAATAGTTTCTCTTCAATGTTTTCTTGCATAAGATGAAATCACTTGAGCATTTTCACATTTAGCTATTTCACAGCTTGCAGTCGGTCCAAAAACATTTTGGATGGACACAAATGAACAGCAGGCCAATTGCCATCTTTCCACACAGTGAAAAGGGAAAAATCTCCCAGTAACATCTCAAATGTGAAATGCTAGGGAAATATTCTAAAATAAAACTGACCATTTCAATCTGTAAATAATCTAAATTACTTCTGGTATCTCCGTTTATTAGCTCCAACCATGAGGAGGCTTTCCATTCTCATGAAAAAAAGCTGCCTCATATTGAACTTTGCATAGATGTTTGACACTAAAGCAAGTTTTTTTCATAAATGATAAAATAAGAGACGGATGTTTATTTATTTTAAGCATTTCAAAATATCTGGAATGCTCAAATGAATTCATCTTCTGAGATTTTACAGATTAGAAAAACCTTCAATGAAAAGTTGTCATGTAAAACCTGCCATCCGTCTCTCCCCCGTCTTCTGAGATGAACAACACAGCATAAACAGTTTATTGGTTTTATGTCCTTGCAGGTTTTAAATGGGGCCTCCTTCATCTTAGTGTCCTTGTAGAGTTGCAGGTAACCTGAATCGTGCGTGATGCAGATTGTATTTTGAGAAAATGAGCCCATAACATCTGCAACTAATTATGTTCCAAATCTGGGTTTTTGTTAGTCTTTACAAGATTACATCAGGTTATTTTAAAACTTCTTCTCAACGATGGGAGTCAACATGAACTATGAAAATTACAGTTTGAGACAGAAAATTTCAAATATTTGCTTCTATTACCATGACATTCTTCCAATAATAACTCCAGTGTAATTATATGCAGAATCCAGGCGATTGCAGGAATATTGCCGCATCATTAAAGGAAGTAATATAGTTTTTTTTCTCTTTAAATTAGTTTTAAAAGAACAAAAAACCCTCACTGGTTCTGTGTTGTGACCACTAGAGAGCGCTCTCGTCCTTCTAATGGTAATTTTCACAGAGAATGAATATTCCAGAACCTCCTAAACAATCATTCCTGGAGATTTGTTTCTGTCTACTTAATTAAAAAAGCACACTAACACTCTAAACACACAAACAGAGAATTATAGAGAAATGAGTTCTGCTGATGGGTTCGGAGAGGAGAGGATTCATTATGCATCACTGCCACCTGCAGCATTCTGGCTGACCTGTGCAGGGACAGGTGTCCTCCAACCACACATGTTTACACAATAACACAGTGGAGCAAATAAGACCAAAACACTTGTTCTGCTTTTATAACTTTTGATTAAATGATAGATGGACCAATAGTAGGATTCACTTTTTTAACTCAAAAGAAAACAATACACACTCATATTGTTTTATCACACCTCACATATGATGGTTAACTTGATTTTACTAAATCATCCTGATTAAAAATAAGACTTTTGTCGTTGTAATGATTAAAATATATAAATAACAATGAACTAGTGGTTACAATGCTGAAATGGCATAATGCTGATGTATAAATAAAGATGCCATTAATAAGGTTTTGACCACTGACACCTACTAGAATAAAGGATACTTTGATTTTGATCCCTATAATCCCCTATAGGGGCAACTGGTTTCATACCAGTTGTGATCACAAGCACAACAACATAAAAAACAGCAAAAATGCAACATGAAATCTGTAAAAGAGGTAGTTAGTCTTGCACCATGGCAACAGATACCTGCATCCAGACCATAGGAACCTGAACTCACTGTGACACGGGTGAGATGAATCAGTCAGGATCCAACACTTTCTCACGTGTTGCAGGATCAGTCTGGCCTTCTTCACTTACCTGGCTTGGTGCACATCAGCCAGGTTCGTTGTTCCTGAGTTTCCTGTTCCTGTTCTCACAAGTTCAAACCAACAGATGGAGTTAAAATTTAAAAACAGACTCAATAAAACATGCTCACAAGAATAGAATATACATCTAAACCACAGAGCTTCTGATGAAGTCCATTCACTTATGAGTCTTATTGCAAAGTGAGTCCATGTTGGGTCAAAGGTCAACAGTCCCTAGGTATTTATACTGATTTCCTGATTTAAAATGACCATCTCTTTAGTTCTAGAAACACTTGTTTTTGAAATGTTATACTCGGACAATCACCAACAGTAATTTATTATGAATAATTGTGGTCTGTTGGAGTGCAGGCAGCTCTGACTGAGACAGGCGGAGACTGAACAAGCTAGTCAACAAAGCTAGTTAGGTTCTGGATTGCCCACTGGACTCAGCTGAGGAAACGTGTGGAAGAAGGATACTAGTTAAGATGGCCTCCATGTTAAAAAAAACCCTTCCATCCACTGCATTCTACTGTGGAGACCATGGACAGCTCCTTCAGAGGCAGACTGAGACATCCCAGATGTAAAACAGAACGCTACCGTAGGTCATTCACCCCCCTCTGCTGTAAGAGTGTATAATTCCTCAGTTTAAGCTGTACAGGCATTATCCTGGTACACAATAACACCAATGCAATATTTATTATGTGTTCAATACCTGTGCAATTTCAGATGTACATAGTATGTCTGTGTTTCTCACAGTAATATTAATTAGTGGTTTTTCAGTGGTTGAAGGTTACAATTACTGCCTGTGTGTATATACATGTACCTTTGTTATTGTTTTCTTCAAATTATTCTCTAAAGTGCTGGTGCTGCTGTAACAAGTGAAGTTCCCCGCTGTGGGATCTATGAAATCTATTCTATTCTATTAATTGTTGTTTAACATGATTACTTTTGTATTCAAATATCCATACAACCAAATTTTAGTGATGTGGAAATTAAATAATGTTTATTTTTAACAGATTTAGATGGATGCCGTTTATCTCTAACATGTCAAACACAAAACTAAAACCAGGTAATGTGAAGATGTGACATTTTAAACAAGCTTGTACAGAACTGGGATGAAACTGCTTTGCTGGTGAGAAGTTTGTTACTTCCTGTTGCTTTGGGGGAGTTTATGGGTCAAAGGTCACACAAGGACACAAGTGGCACAAACAAGACAACAAACACCAGGATGGACAAAAAATATGAGAGGCACAAACTAACAGGAAACAGGAAATGAAGGATGAGAGAGAGAGAGAGAGAGAGAGAGAGAGAGAGAGAGAGAGAGAGAGAGAGAGAGAGAGAGAGAGAGAGAGAGAGAGAGAGAAACACAACATACACAATCACAAAGACACAAAACAGATGCAACACGAGGAAAAAAGGATACTTTAATACTGTTACAACATGATGACTTTATGAATCCAACATTAATATAACACACAATAACAGACACACTAAATAATGAAAAAACACAACAGCTGTTCTTATAATCATAGTTGTGGTTGATGGTACAAGGAGGGACAAATAAATAAATGCAAATGAATGACAAAATAAAATTATTTGTAAGAACTGCACGTAAACATAAACCTCCACAAAAAGATACCAAAATAATACAAACAAGATAAATACACTAAATATTGACAAGGACACAATGTAAGAAAAATGCACAAAACAACAACAGAACTCTGATTATGTGATCAAAAAAAGCTAGAAATGTTTACGAAAACAAAACAATAAACACTTAAAAACATTCCTCCAAAGTGAAATATGTGACATAATGAAGACATTTGTTTCCATGGATCAAACTCATCCTGCAGCAACACACACACACTGCAGTTACTGTACTAGGACACGGCTTCTCTGGGCCTTGTTAGCATTCAGACAAAATGAGCTTCTGCAAGCAGGACGATGGCGTTCAGTCTGAATTAGCATTCATCGTGTGTCTGTGACATTATGCGCATCTCTGTCTCACTATGAGGCATCCTGGGACTGAGAGCCATGTAATCAATATCTATTAGAGCTCCCGTCATAAGAGTTAGATTTCACTATTGAAGCTCCCCCGACTCCACGTCAAACATTATGAGCTGACTGGACGTGTCATGCTCCGGCGTAGCCGCCTAATGAAAGAGATCATGTTGGAGTCAAACACAACCTGAGGGAATGTGATGCTCCTCGGTTTTTCTGGCTGAAGGCCAGCAGGTGTCTCTCTCTCTCTCTCACACACACACGCACACGCACACACACGCACACGCACGCACGCACGCACGCACGCACACACACACACACACACACACACACACACACACACACACACTATTCAGACAAAATTCAACTAGACTCTTTCTTTCGTGGTTTTATTCATTGTGACATTTGTACATAAACAGGAAATTCTTGTGTTTGTATCAGAAACCAGCATTAGCTCCTTTCAGGACTGGTCTTCATGATAGTTTATTTTTTAATTTTTTTAATTACAAAATAAATCAACAAATGTGAGAAAATGAATGTTAAATGTGAGAATGGATAGTTTTATAAAAAAGACCCAACGGATGGGAGAAAAGGTTTTGTTCTGTCCGCTCTGACTCTCAGAGGATAGAAAATCCCCTGAAACAGAGAGGATGATGGGATTTCTGCTAAAATCCTCCTTTTTTATGCGACACGTCATGAGAGAAATAAATCTTTTATTGTTGAACGTCAGATCCGAAGTGCTGTAGTAGTAAGTGCTTATTACTGTCTTTTAAAAACACAAAAACAGGGTTTGGATAAAGAAATTTGGTTTTAGGGCCTCAGATTCAGAAATGTTTAAAGTGCTCAACAACAAACCCAACACAAATTATAAATGAAACCAAGATAAATAACATGTACAAAGAAGCAACAAAAACAAAATCAAAAGGTTTGTTTTTAACTTAAAACACAAAATATATCAGCCATTGCACATTGTCACATGACATATATTTATATATATATATATGTGTGTGTGTGTGTGTGTGTGTGTGTGTGTGTGTGTGTGTGTGTATAATGCATTTGTCTTTTAGCGAATGAGCAGTTTTGATGCACGGACCCTCCTTGGTTTGAGCTGTGCAGCTTCACATACAACTGGATCTCTTTCACACAAGAGTTCAGCTCCTCGGAGGACTTACTCCTCCGAGTCTCAGGTGCCAGTCAGGATCTGTACAGCGGGGGTGGTCCTCCTCAGGTTTATGGGCGGACACATGAGAGGTCTGGAGGTGGATCTTTATGTGGAGTAGGGTCTTTATTTTTACTTAGTTTTTGGCTGTTCTAGGGTCAGGTGCAGAACACAGGGGCGGCACTAAGGGGGCAGGAGCGGGGGCTTGAAGGTGCAGGCTCCGGTGCACTGACGAGGAGTCAGCATCTTACAGGAGAAGTGATGAAGGGCGTCGTGAGCTTCTAGGGAGGAAGGAGTCCATCAGTGGGAAGAACATGTAGGGAAAGCAAAAAACATCCTGAATGATTAGAACTGGAATTGTGAATTGGTCTTTGATTTAACAACAAGAAACATCAACCATAATAAAAAGTGCATTTTTGGTGGATTATTCAGACTGGTTTACTAAACCTAGACTTATAAATGAAAGCTAATTAAACAATAAATATTAGTTATTTATTTGGTAAAATATTACATATCTGTGAGTGGCAAAATAAGAAAAATGTGAGAAAATAGGGATCGTGTATGGTTTTTCTTTTATAAGGATTTGATCAGCAACGAACACATTTCTCTTGATTTTAAAGTCACTAAAATGTGTCCTAGTTTTGGTTGTTTTATTTAAAAAGGTGGTCCTGGGTTAAAGGCAAATCCTATTAAGGATTACCTGCTGTTGCAGGATGGTTAATAATCCAAGGATGCATCGTGTGTATCTTTCCTACTAAACAACAATAACTCTTCACACGTTCTCTGTCCACTCAGCATTCACGTTTTTCATGAGTGATTACAAGACCATCATCGTTTTCACTGAGAGGGTTATTTTTTGCTGCTCTGAAGGCACGGGGGCATGTAATCAACTGATTATCCAACTGCCCGCGCAGCTTTGGTCGCACAATCTTGCAGAATTTTTTTGAAGCTTTGAACAGCACTTAACAAAAATAATTTGATGATGTTTTGCTCTGGAGTTGTAAAAACAATCACCAGTCTCATTTTCTCTTTATGTACCTTAGTCCAGTGGCACCCACAAGGAGAGGCCAGAGGTGGCCACGGCCACCCCAAGAAAATTGATGTCCCGTCGGTCCCCCCCCCACCAGTAGGAATGAATGTCCTCTGGAAAAAGCTCTGGTGCGGCTGTTTAGGAACGTAGATGTCCGCTGGAGGAGAAAGTAGCTTCAGACGATGGGATTTGAATTCTTATTTCCTATTTGGATATCTCTCCTCTGATTGGATAACATCAACTCGATAACCACTGACTCTGTTTACTCTGCAACGTTGGTATTTTATTTCCACAAATAACACAAGCCTGGAGGAGTTCTATGTTTGACCTCATTCGCTGCCAGCCGTTTACTGATCAGTAAAGCCCTTCGCTGCCAGCGTTTCTCACCGTTTTTACTGTTTTTTTAAGAGTCACAGAACGTTGCGCGCTAGGATGATGTCTACGCCAGAACTACCAAAACAAAGCGGAGACTCACCTCTTACATCAGGAAGAATCCGCGCGTTTCGAGCTTTATCCGTTCTTTCATAATCCGTTGTTGAATTGTGATTGGCAAAAGCTTTTCCGGTTCGCGCCTCAATTTTTTTTACATCAGCGGCCCAAAACGATCTCCTAACACAGGGATTCCCTGGGGGTGCGCGAGCTGCCGCTAGGGGGTGCGCAAGGTGAAAAGTGTAATGGCTGCAGAGCTCAGAGAAGTCTGTCATGTGTCACCATTATTGTAGAAACTCATTTGTGGGTGGACCAAAGAAAAAGTAAGTGGGCACAATAAATGTAATTGAAAACAAGTATATTTTTGCGCGCGCGCGTGTCCTCCACATGTGCCATAGCTTCATAATAACAATGCGCCGAGCTTCAGCACTCTGGTCTGCGCACGCCGATATGTTCCGTATTTGATCATTTTTAACGGTGTTGGAGAAATCTGAAGGTGGCGAGTCATTCTGGCAGATTGTAATTAACACCTGTCTCATGCAGGTGTTCTGATGTTGTAAACCTCACACACAGAACATTGTGGATGTAACAAAATAACAAGAAATGATTCCCATTCAGGCTTTTGACAGCGCGCTGAAGATCTGAAGTTCAGAGTGCGTCTGTCAGAGATCAGACGAGTTCCAGCGGAACCACGGCTCACGGGTGCACAAGTGAGCACATCTGGGCTGGGCAGAAGGAATTTTACAACATTGGTTTAAATAGCGCCAAATAACGAGACGCGGTGACTTGAGCGGCTGTGCCGCGCGCGCACACACACAGATTCAATAAGCGCACACGCTGCTTTAACTCCGGCGCGCCGTCAGACTGAAGGCAGAAATGAACGCTGCCTCCACCACGATAAAAACTTTTAAGAGGTTATTTTTCATTCAAGGTCAAATTAAGATATTAGCTTCTGGGATGAGTCGGGTCCGCTCCAGCCAGTGACTCCTCATGAACCTGACCACAAGTCCTGTTACTGCAGCATTTGTTATTCCAGTCAGCGTGGCAGCGGATCGCAGATTCAGCCACACCATAAAACAGCAATAAGTCGGTCTGAGGTAAAAGTGAACATCATGGCTATATCTTGTCCCCTATTGACATTTGATTACGCACAAGTAGGTGACCAGTTCAGGTTTACGCAGAGCAGAAGGAAGGAGAGCGCTCTGGCCACAGGTTAAACGTTCCTACTTTAAGAAAACCGTTAAATTGCATTGTTTATGTGCTACCTGGGCACTCTAAATATTTATTTAATATTAAATCAAAGGAATTTGTAATGGTATCGAATGTTTATTAATTACTACTTAAAAAATGAAAGTGATGGGGAATTTTTTTTAACCATGTCTGTTTAGCTTGACATCTGATATATATATATATATATATATATATATATATATATATAGAGAGAGAGAGAGAGAGAGAGAGAGAGAGAGAGAGAGAGAGAGAGAGAGAGAGAGAGAGAGAGAGCCATGCCCCGATGGGGTGGTGGGGGTTGGGTTGTGCGGGTGGGGGTGCGTCGACATGGTCGGGACATAGAAGGGGGTGCGCGGCTAAATAAGTTTGGGAACCACTGTCCTAACACATGGATTTTCTGCTTCCCGGTCACGTGACATGTGGTGTACGTGGATGAAGATCCGCTTTAGAGCTGAGATGTTTGTTCTCACGGTGCGGGGACTCTTTACGAAGCCCACTCAGTAAAAAATGCCAATGAGACAGTGGACGAGTTAATGAAATGTTTGTGTTTTGCAAATTTTAGGTCAGTGTGTTGGATGCATATTATTTCGTAACACTATAACTACCAAGGCAGTCATTTTCACTGTTTTCATATTTTGACATGTAATAACTTTAGATAGGTGGATCTCATGTCATCTTGACTTCCTGACTTTTCCTATTTTTGCGTTATAATTTCAATAAAGTGATGTATTAAAAAAGAAATGTGGCTGTTTTTGTCTTTGGCTCCCACAAGCCATCCGTCTGATGGCTCTATTGTTTACATGGTAAAGATTTCCCGCGAATGACGGGCAGCATCACTTTTGCTACGCAACCAACTTTACAGCTCACATGAGCTCACTCTCCGTTCAAACTAAAGTAGCTGCTAAAATGGCTTTTAGAGGAACGTTCTCTGTGAAACAAGCATTAGAAATGCTGCTGCTTCAGGCGGAGAGGGGAAAGCTGATGGAAACTGGTCAGTAGGAAGCGGCAGAGACTCTGAGAGCAACACAGAAGGCGATCTCCGATCCCCACTCGCGGTCCCTCAGCGAACAAACGGACGGTTACTGGGAGTTCCAGTGAAGTCACAATTCTGAGTCTTCTAGTGTTAAATGAAAATCCCCACAGGCTACACTCTCCCAGAGTTACCATGAAGATGAATTTTTCTCTGGCCCTGTCTGCTATGGAGCGGTATGGGGGCCAAAATTAAGACTACTACCCATGGCGTTAGCTTCGGAGAGGCTAGCCATTAGCATGTCTCGGAGAGTCACTTACTCTATTAGATATGTGGGGTTTTTTTTGTACATATTATATAGTTTTAAAAAAGATAACATCACAATTTAAATAATCATTAACCTGTAATTCAATACAAAGGATTTAAAATCCAAAGATGAAAAGTACTAACTAGTTAGCTCTGGCTTTTTCTCTGATATGTGCAAGAAAACCAAACTATATAAAAAGAAAACACCATCAACCTGTAATTAAGAGCAAAATGGAGTTAACGCAGCACCTAATCAATGCTAACAGGTACCATATGCTTAAAGTTAATGTGTATAACAACGCGTTCTGTCAAAGGAACAACTGTGATTGTAGGTCTCATAGTATGTCATCCGTTTAATAAATGTAAAAAAAACGCATCTAGTAGAGTAAGTGACTCTCCGATACATGCTAATGGCTAGCCTCTCTGATGCTAATGCCAGCCTATCCATGCTTAAGGTCCGTCGAGGGTGTAGGAAATCCAGCTAGTGGCCAGCCTAGGCACGCTAATGGATAGCCTCTCTGATGCTAACGCCAGCCTATCCATGCTAACGCTAGCCTATCCATGCTAATAGACAGCAGAGGGAGTGTGTGAACCAGTCAATGACCAGCCGAGGGCTGCTAGTCCCTAGCGTATCTAGTAGTAACGCTGGTAAAGGTGCTATTTCTCAGTAAGCAGTGCCAGCCTCTCAGTTACCAGCGCCAGCTTATCGTTAATCAGGTCGGTAGTTTGCTTCAGAATTTATATAGCCTCCTGTTGCTGGGCAGTAGTCTTAATTTTGGCCCCCATACCGCGCCATAGTCTGCCCCCCATGAAGATTTCCTAGGAGCACCACTGCTTTAGTCTTGTCTCAGCATTTATCCTCTTGAGAAATATATTTGTTTACAGTTTGTTCTCACATCATTTCTCTTATTTTGCCTGCATCGATTAAAACAAACAAATCCAAACAATTAGAACTAAGGCCGGTGTTCACCAGTAGAGCTGTATTCAGAAATGTAGTAAGCAGATTTGTTCTCAGGCTGTGGGCCCTGACCACAGCTCTGGTGAGGGGGTGCTTCTCTACGAGGCTCACACAAAAACATCACAGATATCACTTTTTCATCTGATTCTTTGGGACATGAAAACATTTACACAATGTAAACCCTTGAGTTATGAAGTTTGAATTATCAATATGATAGATGTAGAAAACTCTTGTTAAATGCTGGTGACATAAATCACATGAAAACACAAACAGGAAGTAGAGGTTCCTTCTGCTTCCTGATGAGCATCAACTCAAAAATCTTTCACGCTTGTGAGCAGAAGAGGATCAAAAGGTGATAAATCACTATAACACGTTACCATTTCCCTGATAAAAGTAGCAATGATTTGATAATAAAATTGTTTATTTTAGGATGAAGGTTTGAGTCAAATAAAAGCAAAAAATTAAATAATAATAAAATCTAATAAACTTTTGCTAACTTTGTTTTTGTTTCTGGTTTATAATAAAATGTTTACCTATGTTTTCAGTGTAAGTAAAAAATAAGATTCATGTTTTTCCTCACAGCTAACACATTTAAATATTCTTCTATAGAAATATATATATATATATATATATATATATATATATATATATATATATATATATATATATATATATGTATATGTATATATAATTTTTTTTCATTCAGAAAATAAAATAAAGTCACTCAACAACAAAACTGGTAAATCAATGCCACGTGGATGACCAGGAGCAGAAAGAAGAATAATCCTATGGTTTCTGATCCTTAAATATTGAGGTCTTTAACCTTCTCGGGCTCAAAATAAGTTTTGATAAAAGGACAAACAACTAAGTCCTTCAGGGGTACTTCTGAGTTTAAAAATGCTCATGAAATACATGTGTGGAGTAACCAGGTAGGTTTTAACGTTGCAAATCTGCAACGCCTGCCTCCAGAGGGTTAAAGTTTAAATGTTTATCTAAGACTCATGAAGCATTCTAAGGAAAACTGGTGAAATAAAACTTGGACTGATAAGCATTTTTTTACTGAAACGGTCACTGCTCATTATTTAAACCACTGCAGGAGACACGATTAGATGATATTTTAAAATAACCCGTCAGATTTTTCAAATAATTGCAAAAATATGCAGAAAATTCAATTTGTGGGTTTTTATTAGTGGTGCCTGAAACTAATGACTTATCTTCTCTTTTGATTTATTTTCTGAAATTTCAGATTTTTAACTGAAGATGTTTGTGCTGAGCTGGGTGGAGAGTCAGAAAACACTAAAAAAGAGAAGAAAGGGTAACGCTGCAGGACAGAGACGGAGTTTGATCACACACTATGGCTTTTCTCATCACTCACACTGAAAATGCTTTACAGCCAGTAAAAACCAGAGGAACAAATAATGTGCTCAACAGTGCTTTCACTGCTCTCCTGGTCATACCGCCTTAAGACAAAACTGAAAAATGTGGACCTGCACTTTAATGTCTCACAGTAAACACTGACCAGTGATCACGGCACATGTTGAACAAACAAAATAAAATAAAATAAAAAGTAGCACTTGCATGTTTATGTTTGCAGGCAGGAAGCTTGTTTTTGGACCAGATAAATTTACCTTTCAGCTTCTGCTGTATTGCATAACGAGCCTTTCTCTCTTGGTCCAACTCGCTGCACAAAGTGTCTATCAAAGAATAAAAATGCATAAAAAAATAAAAAGAAACGGTCAAAATGGATGAGTGGGGGTGTAAATATGAGCTGCTGTGTGAGTGTAATGCATGCAGTTTGCCCCTGTGGTATTTAGAGTGACCCCTCTGTGTTCGTCAAGCCTGTATTTAAACCAGTGTAACATTAAACCAATCCTTTAGCGATGGCATTAGTTGCTGCCTACTGCATGTAACTGATACAGCTCCACATAATGGTCGGTCCATTTCATTTTCCACAGCATGATTTAGGAGAAAATAACCTTTGCAAACAAAACAAGGCAGTTTCAGTTTCATCTTCTGATATCTATTAACATGTAGAAGAAAAATAGGGTGGATTTTACATGAAAGACTTCATTTGCCAATAATTCAATATGCAAGTGTCACTTTTCCGCTTTTTAAAGTAAAATATTGATTGATTGATGCAACTTACATTTTTTGTGGCCTAAAGGAGCATTCAATCTGATTTAAAGAGAGAGACCAACCTCGAACAATCTGCAGCTGCTGGACCATTTCCTCTCTGTAGGACAGCTCACGCTTCATTTGATCCTGGAAATTATCTGAAGAACAGAAAAAGGCCAAATCAGAAGGAATCTCTCTCTCTCTCTCTCTCTCTCTCTCTCTCTCTCTCTCTCTCTCTCTCTCTCTCTCTCTCTCTCTCTCTCTCTCTCTCTCTCTCTCTCTCTCTCTCTCTCTCTCTCTCTCTCTCTCTCTCTCTCTCTCTCTCTCTCTCTCTCTCTCTCTCTCGAAATGATGCAAAATCCTTTACACTCACTTTTTCCTCATACCTTTTAAATGCTGAAATTCCCTCTCCAGCTTCTTCCTCAGCTCCACTTGTTCCACCAGCTGCTTCTGCAGCTCCTCTGGAAATTAACATGAACAACAAATCCACCCAATATGGTCAGAAATAGAGCGACTTCTCATCAAAATCACATCACACATGTTGTGTTTTTAGATTTCTGCTCGTAAAGGTGGTGTTGGAGCGCAGAGAAGCGACTTCAGGTGCATCTCCATCCCTGATAACACCCAATTCCCTGCTTTTCCTGCGCTGGCTGCAGTAATTGCCAAGCATCGCCTGGAGGAGGAGACGATAATAATGGAGTCCCTGGGTTTTTCCAAGCGTTGTAAAATAATTAGCTGCCGTGCCTCGGGGTTATGGCTCTGTTCGTTAAAATATTAATAGCCTCTAAACGATTTCCCCTTACAATAATAAGTCAAAACTCCTACGTCTCGTGATTAAGTGGTTAACAACTATGGAAAACACTGTAGGCCTATAAAATGTAAATTCACCACTTTACAATTTGGCACGTGCTTAGCACGCCACCCGGCTCCGTTATGGTGTTCAGTATTAAAACGTTGTTAAAATGTGTCGTTTTTAATTTTAAGAAAAATCAGAATTTAAACCAAAATAATACATTAATTGATTATATTTATGTAATTCAGCTGATTTAAATTTAAATGAGCAAATATGTCGGGACTGTGCGCACAGATTACCCTAATAACACAAATAATTACAAATAATGAACGCCAGCTGCTTTTTTCTGCTCTTTCTTTCATTTTAGCTCTTACTCACCTTTGGCCATGTTCTCCAGATCTCTTTCATGTACGCTGATGTCGATGCGCAAAGCTCCCTCAGCTGCGCAAAAAACACAAAACACCGTAGTTAACCCACGAATACGATATTAGCAATGATAAAAATGTATCTGGGTTTATTTCTTAAAATAATATAATAAATCTGAATTAAATAAATCACCTTGTCTGTCTCTCTGCTCCTGATAGGAGGCTGCGTTTCTTTGAGTTTGCAGTTCAGTCACGTGACGGACACCTAAACAGGACGCAGACGGTTAGAAGCTGTGCTGTGATGATTACCGGGCTTTGGAGCAGTGGTTCTACCTCTGGTTCTGCGGGGGCTGCTGGGCTGTTTGGAGCCAAAAGGAGGAGGTTCGTTCAGGGGGAGCACCTGCCCGTCCTTCTCAGGAAGATACACCTGGAACAGCAAAAGCAGCAGCAGCAATTAGAGGCCATTTGCTGCTGCTCTTCACGTAATTGGGGACATTTAAAAACAAACAGCAGATCTCTAATTCATTGAGGCTAAATGAGGTTTTGTTTTCTGAAGATGAAACATGCAGATAAAAGCATTTAGTACACTTATTTTAATAAAAAAAAATACATTTAAAATGTGTTATTTATTTTTGCATAAATGTGATTTGTATGTTTTTATTTGTGTTTTTTCACGTAACTAAAATAAATATCGGTTTTACCCAAACGACAATATCTAATTTTCCTCATTTTAATATATTTTGTGTACGCAGCATGGCTGCGGAAACATGTCCCCGTGGGAATTAAAGTCTGATTAAACCTGATCTTACCCCGTGAAAAGGGGATCCGTGGCGCGTCTGTCTGTCCTCATCTGAAGACCCGGTCTGAACCGAGCCCTCCGGTGATGCTGCAGCCGCACCTGGACTCGGGGCGTCAGGCCGCCCCTGGCCCTCCTCAGCACCGGAACAGACACGCTCCGGCGCGGGGGAGCCACGGAGGTCCACACCCGGAGAGATCCGGATCGAATCGTCGTCCTCTGGTCCACGGTTGGACTCCACGTCCACGTCAGGATCGTCGTCGTCTACCACGCTGTCCCTGTCCGGTGACACCGATCTGTAACTGGAGCTCTCACTGATAAAATCCGGGGACAGGTAACCGGAACGCGTACCATAGCTATCCCGGTTGCCGTACAGTTTGGCGATGGTCTCTGCGTCTTTTACAACGGGTCTGAAAGCTGAGATGTAGCTGATCTTCCTCTGAGAGGCCTCGTCGCCGGACTTGTCCTCATCGTTCCTGGTGGAGGAGGACTGGGAGCTGGGGCTGCGCTCCCCGCTGTCCCGCTGGTGCTGCGGGTGCGGGTCTTTGGGTGTGTTCACGCCCCGGTCACTGAGGTCCGAAAGGTCCAGCTCACCTTGCCGGACGCCTGGCAGCTCTGGAGGAGGTTTCGGCGGAGAGCCCGGGTAAGGCGGCATTGGCAGACCCCCCGCTGCTGGCCAGAACATGGGGAAGGCCGGGTAGAGGGTGTCTTTCGCGCCCGGCCAGAAGACACCAGGCACGTTGGCTTTGTTCGCGTCGGGCACCCCATCGTTCTTCTTCGGACACAGGCCGTAGCTGGGGAACCCATATGGGTGGTGAGGGAACAGAGGCGGTGGGATCTTCTGAAGCATGCCAAAGTTCTTGCTGGGCACCGGGATGACGGGATAGCTGCGCGCGCCGCTCGCCAAACTCAAGTTATTCCCCCCCTGCTCCTCGTCGCAGCGTAAAGTTTTGTGGGGGATCTCAGGGGAACTTCTTGGAACCAGACTAGATGAGGCCTGAGACTTTAACGGAGCAGACAACCCCGAGCTGCTCATGGGCACAGTCCTTTTTCTGCTCCCCCCATTGAACATGGCCTTGACGTCCTCCCACGCGTGATGGATGTCCTCAGACATTTTTTTGTCCGTCAGTTTCAGGTGCCGCCTCCACGAGTTGAAGTTGGCCGCGTCCGGCTGCAGGTACTTGGACTCCGGGGTGCGATGGGAGTGGAAAATGAATTTATTGGGGGAGAAATACATGTTACAAAGGCTGCACTTGATGCACTTGGCCCTGGAGCTGTTGTATCTGGCGGGTATGAAGTTGCCCCTGCAGCCCCAGGCGCATTCATGGGACACGTCAAAAGCGAAGTTTTCCGGCAGCTTTGGGGGGCTGTGCGCTCCCAGGAAAGACTTGCAGAGCCTCTCGGCCTCCCGTTTGGTGATCATGCCGCAGCGCCTGGATGAGATGGGCATGGCCCCAGCGCGACGCAGCAGCTCCAGCTGCACTGGCGTGCACTGCACGCAAGTGATTCCCAAAGCCACGCGCCGGTTGTGGATCTCGTTGTAGCTGTAGTTTTTCAGCAGGGTGTTGGAAATCTGCGCCAGGCACAGTCTCTCCTTTCCATCTATGACCAGAGACACGATGGGCACCCCGTACAGGGAGGTCTCGCTCACTTGATTCGGCTTTAGGGAGCTGGAGCTAGAAAAGCTCTGCGCGTCTTGCTTTAAGGTCGGGGAAGAGCTGGCGTCTCGTCCCGCGTCTCCAAGATGTCCGGGCATTGACTCCATCCCTGGAAGCCTGGGGCAGAGAGAAACAGGGGGCGTTGGAAATAATATTTAAAAGAAACATGTTTTACCGTGACGTTATTAAACAATTAAATTAAAATTATGTGGTAAAAATGCAGATTTTTAAGTTTGTCATATTTTATAATAAGATTGTAATTTTTTTTACTGTTATTTTAAAGAAAGCAAATATTTAAAGAACAAAGTAGAAATAATTTTAAATTGGAATTGAAAAGTTAGAATTTTAAAAACATAATAATAATAATAATAATAATAATAATAATAATAATAATAATGTGAAATAACCATGCGTTTTAGGGAACCATAAAGTGAAATCAATCAGCTGTGTGACAGCTCCTCTCATCAGCGCGTTCATCTGTGTTTTTGGATCTCCTGCCGCCTCCTGCACGGAGGTGGTCCTCTGCTGCTCCCTCTTATCTGCAAATCGGCTCAGCACTTGCGGGACAACTACTTTAGGAGACACATAAGATCCTTACGCACAGAAAAGGACAGAAGGAAGACGCAGCCTGAGCTGCGTCAATGCGCTTAGCGGAGGGGAAAAGAACAACTGTAAGCTGCTTTCCTGGTAATTACACGGATCCGAGCGTGCTTCCTCACATTGTTAATAAAAGACTAGCCCCATATATAATTAAAGCTGCTATACAGATTAGCCTGGGCCGGTCGCTGGGCAGTAGGCTGAAGCCGGCCCGTCTCACGTTCACATGGATTACTTACTGTTGGCACCGCGGCTGCGGGGCCGTGGAGGCCGCTATACGCACCAAAGCAGCCTGCATAGTCCTAATCCGAACAACTAAACGGGTTTAGAGTCACAACTGAATACAAATGCAGAAAGAAATATAATGTATGCAAAAAAAGGCAAATACACACAATTATTTTCTTTAATTTGTTAGAGGAATTATTCAGAATGACCTACCTTTAGCTCCTAAAAACAACACGCTCCAGAGATGAAAAAGTTAGAAATATTAAAGAGATGAAATTCCAAACCAGAGGAGTCCAAACAGAAGCGATGATGTTAGTGTTTTTAGAAACGCGTCAGAAGAATGGAGTGGATTTCAGTTGAGTGGAGAGCAGTAAGCAGCAGCAGCACTCAGGACCTCCATCCCGTTGGAGCCTGGGGAGGTGAATGGTGTGTAGACAGGAAGCACATGGCTCCTCTCTCCTCCTCCCCCTCCTCCTTGCTGTCATGCTGATGTGTAATAGCTCTCCCTCTCTACTCCCCCCACACCCCCTCTGCACATAAACACACGCTGAGCTAGACACCACCTCTGATAATTCTGAATGATGCGCTCAGAAATTTGCAGCGAAGAAAACAAACAAATTAACAAACAAACGGAAAAACGTTTCAGCTGTAAGTTTTAATTTGTAGATTTAATTTATTTTAAAAACGCACCGAAGACATAAAAGCTGCCCCCCCCCCGCCCCACCCTGGACCCCCCATGGGGGATCAAACTGATTGTGCAAGGTGGTGTGTATTAAGCATCAGTTCAGCTGTAATTGTGCACATCTTGTGTTGTTTCCCCCGCAGTCGGCGCGAGCCGCACATCCAAAAGGCCCAGGCTCATTCATCAAGTTACACCGCCATCTGTTAGGCTTCCACGGCCACGCAAATCATCCCGCAGCCTGCGAGGAAAAATGGCAAAAAGAGAGAAGGATGAACAAGTGTGGATAATGTGTGGATGTGTAGTCACATGAGTTTAGACTCACAGCGGTGGTGAATGAATCATGGATGAGCTGCTGCCTGCAGGTCTGAGACACCAGAGATCACGTGACTTCAGCCCAACTGATCTTTTAACAAACACAAATTTAGTTTAGGAATCAGCAGAAGAAACACGCGGGTCAATAATCAAAGCTGGAACTCATTTACATTCTTTATGCCAGTCTCAGGAATGACCCAGACTCTGGAGTCATAAATACACCTGGTTTAGGTGACACACCTGCAGAAAAATAATACAACTTTAGATAAAAGTAAACTCAATCTGCAAAAGCTAGGAGTCAGTTTAAAATCAGAATCTGGAACTTTTTGTTAATGAATAAAATAAATGAATACAGGAAAAAAAATCTTATATCAAAATAATTTAGAAATGAAGAACATTTCTGATAAATATTAAACAGTCAACTGCTTATTATCAGGTAATTTATTTAGAAAACTTACCAACATTGTACTGGAATCCACTTGAACGTGCGAGAGTGTTTGTCACCATCGCCGTGCATCTTTCTTAAAAAACAAACAAAAAAATTTAACACTTGTAAACAACTTTTTAACAAAAACACACAGGACTTAACATTAGTCCTTCTTGGCATTGGTTTCATTTTAAAATATTGCTTCCAAACTGATGTTTATTGTTGTAATGTGATATTTTTCTGGAACATCATGATTCAAATCAAAACCCAACCACATGACTCATTTGCAAATATGGTTAATTAATGCTTTAAAAGCTGATTAAAAAACAACTGTATTTGGTTATTTTGGAAAAAAAAAATTAAGAAATTCATTGTAACATATAACTCAGGATATTAGATCTGTTTTAAGAAAGAAGCGACAGCTGCACTCACACTAGCCGTTAGCTTGTCAGTCAATCGTGAAGAAGGTACTGAGGCCATTCAGGAAGCTAACCAAACTGATAGTTTGTACACTTTTACACAAAAACACACTTTAACACCCACTAGGGGTGTCATGGGGGCCATGGGGATGCACCAGAAAGCCTGTGTTCGCCTCTGTGAGAGGAGGACAGGCCTGTTTCACAAATAAACAACCTAATACATAAATTAGGAAAGGCATGAGCTGTGAGGAGGAAGAGGAGGAGGAGGAGGAGGGAGAGATGAGTGAAGCATCAACAGCAGCCGGTTTTTACCTTCCTGCAATATTGATACCGAACCCGATCCTATAAGCGCATCCTCTCCTCTTTCAGCGTGGAGAGGCTTCCCCCGCCGCCAATAACTACAATTTTATACTGTAATTATTCCTCTCCCTTTAATTATTTAGACCTCAGACCTGAATGCAGCCTTTTGTCGCCGCTTGTTCCGACGAAACGTGAGCCGAGAGGATGCAGATCAGCAGCGGCGAGGAGGTTTAATTAGACATTTCAGCGCGCGCTCTTTACTATGATCCTGTTGGAGACAAATGACCAGGTTAATAGCATTAGTTACACGGTAGTTAAAACGACCACGGTTATGATGATGGTGATGATGAATTGTGCCTATTTATTTGCTCATGATCCATGCAAACTTCAACGAGTTGTGTTCTGCTCTTATTTATTCACCTCAAGGTGCTTTCTTTGTTATTTCTGAACCCAAATTCGACTAAAGCCCATCTCAGTTTTAATTCATTGTCTAAAATATTAAAATGTAGCCTATTTTTCGCACGTGGATCTGCAGTTCACGTATGTCTGATGAGAATTTACGGCCGTCTATTTATTTCCAGCTGATTTATTTATTGATCTCTTATCAGCAACGAGATCAAGTTCAAACATCTTACTTAATCGACTAACTGGCAGCAAACATGGATAAAATAATGCCTTAGATGACAAATTAAATCCAGCTTTTTTAATTCTACCAATACATGGTCGATCAAGACTGAAGCGTGATCATAATTTTATATAGAATTTTCTTAAAGAGATAAATCGGGCGCAGCTCAATCAGGGCAGGTTTAATAAGAGCAGCGATGGAGCCAAATGTTTTATAATTAACAGTTGTATCAGCAGCCTATAAAAGCATGACCCCTATAAATCCCGTTTTAGAGACCAATCAATCCTCCTCCCGGACTAAAGGGCCTATTGATCCCTGCCCTGCTCTGCTAAACGCTTTCGCTCTCTTTTTTTGTTTCCAGTTAAAAGAGCATTTCGATTGCACTTTTTATTGGAAGGAAAGATTCCGCCGAGAGGAAAGCGATGGCTCGAAAATTAAACGGTGACATTTTAATTACAGGACATTGATAAAGGGATCTGGGTAATACAGGGCGACCACTCATTGTCCCGCCTGATGTGCTAATCAAGTCGGACTGCAGGAGAAAGGAGGGTCATGGGCCGATGCAAAGCGGCCGCCGCTCGGAGGGCGTTTGGGAATACGAGGCCCCCGGACCCACAGAAATGAAGACGCATCTCCAAACAAAGCGCGGTCAATATCCCGGAGAGGGCCCCGCCAGACGTATTATCACCATAGGTCACAGGAGCGCAGCCATAGATCATCTGATGCTGCAATTTACATGTCACACAAAGCGGTTGTGACAAGCAGGACTGGGACAACTAGACAGGACTGACTGATCAGCATCAGGCTCCCAGCGGTTATCACATCAACTCATCATGGCTGATTGATGGTTTATTAACCTATAATTTTAGACAAGTTTCAAATTTCATCAACAGAAAACTAAAAATAAAAATATAACAGTTTAAAACTGATAAACTGATTTGAGATAAAAGTTATCCAAAGCAACCTGACCCAGCAGGTGGAATGGTCTCCCCCTTGTCAGGTCATGAATGAAGGGATTAGTCTTTTAAAAGTTGAGCTCAGTTTAAGTAGACACAGCAGCTGGATTACGAGATTAAGAAATCCCTTCAGCAGAAACTGTCCAACATAAAATGCTAAAAGATTTCTAAAAGCAAAACATCACAATCAGTGTTCTCAGCTGGTTAAGGTCGGAGTTCATGGTGAAAAAGAGCATAAAATAAAAAAAAAAACAAAAAAACAATGAACATGAACATTTCAGTGATCCTAAAAAAATATTGTGTGGATCGATGAGCCTAAAGTGGAACGTTTTAGAAGCTAAGGCCCTGTTATTTGGTTTACAGTCTGGTACAGAGATGTTTTTCAGGAACATTCTTGTCAAATTGTTAAAATTATTTTCTCAACCAATAAATTAAATGTTCTGTGTCACCCCCCCAAAAATATTTTATTGCCTCGCATAAAACTCATCCAATCCAGCACTGGTCCCCTAACTATGTGACTGGATCATAATCCATCCACCAAACTGCTCCTCTGAAGATCTGTCACCCTGCTGCACAGAACACACTCTGTGTGTTGAAACACTCTCTCGGCACAGCAGCGAACAAGGAGTGAAACTGGCTGAACCGTCTAGTGTCACCGGACAGTGTGTCCCAGTGCCGGCACTCCCCCCACGGCACCAACATCAGTTTAAATAAAAAAAAATCTATGTGAGGCGTTCCACACGCTGAGCACCGTCATCCAAGGCAGGAGGAGAGATAAGAAAGATCCTCGTTTCTTACAGAGCAGATAAAATGTGTGCAGCGGGTCTACTCCGAGCCCCTCCCGGATGACCGAGCTTCTCACCCTATCTCTGAGGGAGAGCCCAGCCACCCTGCGGAGAAAACTCATTTCAGCCGCTTGTATCCGCAATCTCGTTTTTTCGTTTACTACCCAAAGCTTGTGACCGTTTATGCTTGGTGACTTTTGTTGTTCCTAAATATCAGAAGAGTGACCAGTATGCAAATATTTTATAAAGTCACCGCTTGTGTTTTATCATCTTATTTACAATCATATGTCATTTAGGACAGGGGTGTCCAAACTTTTCATGACCAAGGTCAAAATCGTCAAGCTTATAGTCCTTGAGGGCCAAAATAATGCAATTCTTTTATTTAAAAACATTTTTTATTTAAAACAATAACATTGTCATTGTTTTCCACGTGTACGCTACAAAATAGCTCCAAAAAGACCATATTAGTAAAAATCTGAATATAATGTAAAAAATGTGTCAGTCTACACCAACAAGCTGCTGGAGAGACAAAATGAATAATTCTAGATATGCAAGTGGGGGCCACACAAAATCACTCTGTGGGCCTCAAATGGCACCCGGACCGCAGTTTGGACACAAATGCTTTAGGAAACAGTTTAACAGGTTTGGTGGCAGACAAGTCGACTGCATTTGATGGTAGTTGGGACATTTTGAAAAGAATGAACCTTCAAAAGGAGCTGTGCTTTCATCTGCGCCTTGCAGCTGATTCTTTAGGACAGCCGTCTCACTGATCCAGCAGCAGGTGTCCAAGGTTGGTGCTTCTTTAAACATTAGTTGGGCTAAAGCAATGGATTCAAGTCTGGCTGGAGCTTCAATAACAATGTATCAGAGTCAGTCAGAGTGGATAGTTCCACGACTCAATAACAAAACAAGGGTCAAAATAAATATTCCTGTAAATGTCTTGCTTCAAGAGTGTTTTGGAAGGTTGAGCAGGTGTGTTTCCTCCACCCCAAACCAAAGCATTTCTATCAAACTCCAGGCAGCGCTGAGGTTTAATCTGAAACCACTCAGGTCTGAGGGACTCATCCTCCAGAGAACCAGACTTATTCAAATTTACACTGCAGCCCCGCCACCCACTCATGATACTTTTCAGTCTGAACTGAAGTGAGTAAGTCAAATCATCAAAGAAAATATCAGTTTGTCTATGAATTACCACCTCCAACTATCCTTTCACACCGAATTCTTAACAGCTTTATATAAAAACCAAACAAAACATGAAGGACGTTGACATCACACCTACTGGAGCACTGACCCGACGAACTTTAAACGCTGTCATACTATGTTTAACTGTTGTCTAGGTCCTCTTAATGAGAGGAAAATCACATCTGTGGTCTTTATTCAGACGATCACGGGGAAAACAAAAGGATTCCATGAGTCTGAGGTGAAACTTCTTTTATGAGCAGGTGAACCCTGCACCTTCACGCCTGTTATTTTAGAGTTGATGGAAGTTCATGAGCCAAGAGTTTGGTTATGACTCATGAACATAACAAATCTGTTCAGGCTGAGGGAAAAAGAAATTACAGCTCGTCCTTCACACTGTGAGAGGAAACAGTCTCATTTGGATACAAGTGCTCTGTTGGACCCTGTGTACACCTCCGTCTGCTTTCCTCAGGTTAAAGCTTTAAAGAATAAATGAGATATTAATAAAAATGTGTCTGGAATTAATTGTGAAATGAAAATTAGCAATAAACTCTGGCCATCAGGTTATAGTCAGTCTGCATAGAGATGTTTGGAAAACCTTCATGATAAAGTTCGATTAACTTTAAGGAAGTTCAGGAGGTCTGTTTCCAAAGCATGATTTTAATGACAATACATGGTTTATTCATTTATGTTAGGCATGAGGGTAAATATATGTACTTTAATTATAAAAATAACCTTTCCCTTATCAGTTAAATCAGATGACTGTTAGGCAGATGCTTTTTTGTTCTGTAGTTGGGTTTAAAGGTCTTATATCGTGCAAAAGCAACATTTTGGAGCTTCTCATGAACTCATCCTCATGAACAACACTCCCAAAGCAGTTTTCGGCCTCACACATGCACTTTCCTCTCTCAGCTGCTTCCTTCAGCTCTGCAATTTTTGCTAAGCTAATGCATTCATCTATGGGGTTGTTGCTATGTCACAACCATAGACTGTACATACACACACAACAGGTCACAACAGCCCGCTCCTCCCCATTCAGATGGACTCTCAAATCCAGATCCATCCTCCCCTGGACTGTAAACACTAACACCCAGTCTCCATGTGTAGCTAGCAGGGAGTTCAATCTCCAGTTGTGAAGAAGTGATCTATTTCTTATATAGGCTGCACTCAAAATAATGCCTATAACCCAAAAATGTACTTTTGTGTGCGAGAACATGATCCCTGTCCAGTCTTCTTGAAGAAAAGTTTAATTGGCAGAAATGTTTGGATTTTATCTTCATGAACTCTCAAACATGAAGCCAGAACGTGATTATGATTTCAAACTGCTCATTAAAGATGAATTTCTCTGTAAAAACACATTTATGATTATTTCTGATTATATTGGTCACAAAGTTTTTCATGCAAGCTGAACTTGAGTCTCCTACACCTATCTCCTGCATTAGCTTCTGATAGAAAATAGATGGTGAAATTTTAGGATTTGAAAAGCCTGTCAGATCTACGTCACACTGTCATTTAACATTCATGGACTCACCCATCTTCAATTGTGACAATGAAGGCTGTTGTTGGTTTAGGAAACAGCAGAGAACGTCTCAGGTAGTGGAAGCTAACAGTTAGCATTAGCAACTCCACAACACAGCAGAGCTCCTTCAGGCTTGTGTTATCTGTGGATATAAAACATCAACATTGCACAGCAAACAGAACCAGTGGCTGAGTCACGTTTTTGTTATCCAATCAGGTGCGAGACGTCCAAATATCAAGAAGTAAGACTTCAAATCCTGCCATCTGACGCAGAACTCTGACCTAGATTGTGTGTGTGTGGGCGGGGGGGGGGGGGGGGGGGAGAGATTTGCAGTCTCTGGGTCTACAGCTGTGTACTATTGTGGAATTCACACAGGGGAGGCGGGGTTTCATCAAATCCAACCGTATTAGAGCTAAAAAAATCTTTTTTCCATAAAAATAACATCTCAACAGTGCCATATTTGATCATTGAGCCTATCTTTGCTATGGGAGGTGTAAAATAACATTACACAGGACCTTTAAAACATCATCTCATCTGTGAAAAGAGACCTTCGAGAAAATTAAACTAGATCGTAATGTTTTTTAAAGTAATATTTATAACAATTAAACTAGAAATTAAACAGATTCAAATGTTAATTGCTAATAGAAAAATAAACACAAAAGTGAGCAAAACATTCCTGCTGTATTTACATCTGTTTTATTGAATATGAGTAAATTATGTGTGCCAACACACCATTTACAGGAGAGATCATCATCTGAATATTACAGCTTTAATGTTTCTTCTGAATATCAACATTTGGCCAACCATCTGACGTTTTTAAAAGTAACAAAAAAAAAGGCTTTAAGCTCACAAAATTTGTTTACGATGACTGTAAAAACACACTACGATATAAGGCAAGGCAGCTTTATTCATATAGCACATTTAATACACAAAGGCTATTCAATGTGTGATACACTCATAAAGAAAGGTGTAAGAAAATGCTGCTTTATCTTTGAAGTTGCTTTCCAATGAAAACATTTAAGACTTGATTTTTGCAGATTGAAGTATTTCTGCATTTGGTTTTGATGCAACTCAACAGACCTGACAGTTTGGAGAAATACAGTAAATATGATTTAGTTATTGTGCAACTATTAGAATATTTCAGGATTTTATTATTGTCCTCTTCAAAATAAGATAAACAAAGATCATTTAAAACAGGATGTGATGAATTTCAATCTTGAGCTTTCTGATACAAACAGTAGTTTTGCTGAATGAAGCTCATAAAAATCAGCCTCTCTAATTTAACATCCCCAGTAAATGGAAATAAATACATTTAAATAATAATAACAAGAGTGCTGGAATCATATTCTAACAGTTATAGCAATACTGTTATTTAAAGTGGTCTGGGCCCAATTCTTCTAAGAAAATAAACCCAAATTCTGAATACAACCAGTTTAACAGACCTATCCATAGCACTGGGAGTGTAAATTACACCCAGTTAAATCTGAAAGTGCTAGTTAAAAACCCACAATTAATCAGAGTCGTCCTAAAAAGATTTTAAACAAGTAAAACAGCAAAAATAGCAAAGGCATGTTTGCATAACAAAACATTTTCTAAATAATGAGGATTTTGGATGTGTGTGTGTGTGTGTGTGTGTGTGTTTGTAACCCATCAAACTGAAAGATGTTGAACTGGTTGTTTCTCATGACACTGATGTGATTGTCATGGTTACGCCTCACACAAACGTGTGTAAACAACACTTTTAGGAGTAACACCGTTAAGTGTACTTTATTGATGCAGATATCTACATAAATACTTTTCTAAGTAATTTATTTTGTCGTAAATTTCATTACACTGGCCTCAGCTGTGATAAACTCCAGTAATTCAGCTACTCTTTGGTGTTCCACACACGTCTTTAATAAAGAAAAGGAAGGACCTTTTGGTTATAATGTAAATAAATCTTTGAAAGAACATAAGTTAAGGTTTTCCGATTAATGTTCTCATCAGTGAGTCAAACTAAGAAAGCTGTTAAACATGTGAGGACGATGAGACGATTCATCCGGAGGACTTCAGCTGGAGGCAGAAAAGATAAACAACCAAATCATAAACTCACTCACTGTACAATTAATTCATACCAGAAAACAACAACGTGGTCCCAAGTGGTTTTACTGGTCACATTTGTTCTAGAAGCAGAAAGAAGGTTTTTGTTTTTTTGGCAACGGATGTCGAACAATTCCAAGTTTAGCTGCTGAGGTAATAAATAAAACAGGCACAGAAGATGGGCCGTTACTCACAGGAGGAAACCTTGACATTCACCTGACGGCTGTCATCTGTATAGCACAACCGTGGCAGCCCTCATCTGTCCCGTGTGGACTTGTTTATTGTTTTTGATGCATTGAGTCAGAATCTTTCTCCTCATCAGGCGGGGAAGCATCTGCTGCAGGAGATGCTCTTCGTTTGGGCTCTACAGAGACTCCAAGTCCCGTCACAGAAGTGTTACATAAAGATTCTCACTGAAATATCAAACAACTGGACTGGTTTTCACTGGAGCATTAGGATGTCCTTGACCCCAAAGTGTTTCATCGGTGTCCACGGTTTGGAGTCGGACGACAGGAGGGAACCAGATGCATCACTGAACCTGCGGAGCTCTTCTCTCCTCCAGACAGCGACACACCCACATCGATACCACCTCCGCATTCCCATCGTTATACTGGACTATAAAAGAATGATCCTGCAAAATGAAATAAAAAGCACATGAAGTCCCCAGAAGAAGCTACAATGATGTTCTGCTGAGCTGTGGTGGCCTCATGGAGGGGGCCATCGTCTAACACACTGCTGCTAACCACTAAAACATTCTCCCTCTCCTGATAATAACTTTTTGGTTTCCTTGACATTGGACGTGTTACTGCTAGTTTACCCATTTAATTAGAGATCCACTAGGATAAATACAATAAAGTTTATCTCACCAAATAGAATATTTACTAAGACATCACAATAGAACTGTAGACACATTATTGTGTGTGTGTGTGTGTGTGCGTGTGCTCTGTCTTCTCGATCCCCAGTGAGTCGTGGAGGATGGCTGCTTATACTGAGGCAGGATTCTCTGGAGGTTTCTTCCTGTTAAAAGGGAGTTTTCCTCTCCACTGTCGCTCTATGCTTGCTTAGTATGAGGATTGCTGTATAGTCACTGACACTAGTCAGTGACTTGATGCAATTTGCTGGGTTCCTTATATAGGACACATTATTTCTGACTGGCTTAATGAACCGTGAATTGGAATGTTTATTATGTGAAGTGCCTTGAGACAACTTGTCGTGATTTGGCGCTATATAAATAAACTTGAATTGAAATTGAATTGAAGTAAGTGATTTTTACTCAAAATAACAACTCACAATTAAGAAATGCCTCCTTCAAGGTGGAATCGGAGCAGAAAACACAAAAGTCAAAGGCGAAATATAAGTTAAAAAACACTGATAACTAAACATTACGAAAAGCATCATTGGATTTATTTAAGATAGGTGTACAATGTAATAAATATCTGCACGTCAATCATCTTTTATAACCGTTATTTAGTAAAATAACTTTAAATAGTTTTTAAAGTAATGAGCTTTCTCCTAAAATTGGATAATTCAAATGGCCTTTAAATTGTTTTCACTTCCACCACATCATTATTTTTTATTATCAGACAGATTGAAGCCACAAACGTTATTACAGCTGTGTGTAAGGTGTAGAAGCTGTCATCACTAGTTTATTCTAACGCAAGAGTCACAAAGTGCCGAAGAAATGTGAACAGGAACATCGTTAAACCTGCTAAATATTAATGTCAGGCCTCTTAAATGAACATCTTAGTTTAATGACCAGCATGAGTCATAACAGGACATAAACAGGAATAAAAAATACGTCAGTAATTCTGGAAATTTATATGTTGAAAAGAGAGCAAATAATCTTGTTTTTATTATAAGTGCGAATAAATCTAAACTTATACGACCCATCTGGTGACTGACAGCTCATAAAGTTTGTTAAATAGTGGCAACGTTGACTCGCTGCAGGATGAAAACGGGGATGTCACATGTAATATCTCACTCCCAGTCTCCGGCTTCCTCTGAACAATTTTTTAGACCAGAAACAAGGTCATGGAGGTCACACAGGGGTCAAGGATGCAAGGTGAGGAGGCTCTAAATGAGACAAATCAACTGAAGATAAGCAGGATTTTTTTCTGAGGCATCTAGGTGCCCAATTAGCTGAGCATGACTTCAGACGGGCTGTTTAAATTAATTAGTCAACACTGATTTGGACTATAACGGTTACTAACAACAAGGGATCACCTCCTTTGTACACAGTTCAGACAGAAATAAGGAAATCAATCTGGTTCTGGTCCGGCCTGATGGGGCAGATCTACAGATGCTTGTTTGTAAATAACCAACCTCCCTGGTCTCTAGAGGACTGATATGAACATCTGTCACTGATTCATGTTTTTTCTTTTTCCACACATCTGTTAATGTCAGTGATACGGATACAACAAAGTAAATGCAGTTTTTATTCTGAAAAGTGATTTTTTCTGATATTTACAACCCAACAGGACACACAGGAGCTGCCGCACCAACGGGGTTTCAGCTATTTCTGCATGGCTGCAGCAAGACTCCCTCTGAGATTTGAGCCTAAAACAAGCAATCATGGTATAAAGTAGGTGTGAGGGAAATGTGCTTAGAAGGATAAATACAAGGTTGTTCAGCTCACCTGGTCAATATTACTTCTGGTTATACCGCAATTAATAAAAAAAATGTAGAAATTAGCAGGATGCTTGTCTGAGGATGCTTAACCTCTGGGTGAAAAAGCATTAATATCTGAAATTCTTAAGTGTAATCACAAGACCATCCATTCATTGTTGCCTGAATAAAATAACAAATTCCAGCAGGGACACCTGGGTCAGCTGCCAGATTAGGTTTGTGGTTTTTACTTGAGGTCATTTAGTTATTCATTTAGTTTAAAAGAAAAATTCTCTATTTGTTTTCCAGTTGAAACAGGAAGCTATAATTACCAGCTGCTGGTTTCTGTTAAACAAGGATTCATTCCTAACAGATAACACTGTGTTATAATTATACATATTAAAGACCAAGTTCCCTGATAAAACGGTTTTACTTATTTTTTAAACATAAGTCACTTGAATGAAACATGCAGGCTAAACATGAAAGACGTCTTCTACACCTATTTCCTGCATTATGGGCTCGACACACGGGAGGCGAAAAACGACCGCGATCAGCGCAATTTGTCGCCGTCGCTTTTATTACCCGACACACGGGAGGCAACCCGCGGCAGCGGCCAGCGGCAAAGCCGTCTACGCGTTCTGTTCCATGGCGAAATTGAAACTTCCGTTGTTTTGCTTGGCTGTGTCAGGTTGGAGGGAATTAAGTTCATTTAAGCGGTTCAGAGTTAATAAAGCGGTAGATATGATGTTTCACAAGTTGCTGCTAGAGTTATGTGAAATGTTACTTCTGATTTTACTATATAAAACATAATAATAATCAACTTCTCCTCCATGTTTGCTCGGAGATGTACGGAGCATCCTGTCCGCTCATTGGTCAGTGAATGAAACCTCCGTTGATTGGTCGTCGTCCGAGCGACAGCGATGAAAAGTTGAAAATGTTTCAACTTTCTGGGATCGCGTCGCTGGGTCGCCTGTGCACGAGCGCAAAATTTCACATGCACGTTTTTCACGTTTCGCTTGTAGGAGGGAGACCCGCGATTATCGCTTTGTCGCGCATGTCTCATTGAAAATGAATGGAGGAGAGGCGATGTCTCCTCCCGTGTGATGAGCCCATTAGCCGAGAAAATAGACGAGGAAACGCTCTGATTAGAAAAGCCTGTGAAAATTGCACGTCGCATTTATGGACTCACCCATCTTGGTTCGCAATGGGGAAGGCTGTTATTGGTTTAGCATCCAGGAGAGAGCAGAGCGTGCCTCGGCTATTAGAGGCTAACCATTACCATTAGCAACTCCACATCACAGCAGAACTCCTCCAGGCTGGCGTTATTTGTGGAGATGAAACATCAGTGTTGCAAACAGAGTCAGTGGTAGTCATGTTGCTGTTAGACAATCAGAGGAGAGATGTCCAAAAATCAGAGAATAAGACTCCAAATCCTGTCATCTTCTGCTGATGTCCACTCTGGCTAACATCTACTTCCATAAACAAAAGCGCCAAAGCTTTATTCCTACAGAGATCGACTCACAAGGTATTCATTTTTAATAGAGACCACTGCACATGTATCGAAAGACGAGTGAACTTGGTTTTTAACTGGAATAATCCACGACTACTTCAAACACGTACCAGTTTTAGATTCACCCTTTTAACTTTTCTTGATTTACAGGAAAAAACTGAGAGTAGAGATCGATTGATTTGGGTTTTTCTGACTGTAGACACTGTTACAGATATGTAGCGGTCAGTCAGCAGATGGCTGGTATGTGCTGGGGATATTTTGGCCAATATCTAGAGGCTTTCAGCCCTAACTGCATGTTTAAATGTCACAAAGAAGCAGTGGAGGCATAACATTTCTGGACCCAAGTCAGTTTTTGAACTCTGACTTTAACATACGTTTGAATCTTAAGTTTGTGCACTGCTCAGTGTTAAAATCAAACATTTAATAAAAGGTCCTCAAACAAACCAAATAAACTGATCAATAATTAACTATTAAAAAAGTAAATAAAAAGAAATGTAAGTAGAAAACACATCATTCATTCAGAGGGTGTTTTTCGGGAACATAAAATTTGTCCGTGGTTGCGCCCGACTTTAAATCGGCTCAACAAAGGGATATCGACCAATGCCGATTTAAGAAAAACTAATAATTACCAATCTATGCCTAACTGGAAATGGTCTCGTTTTCAATACTTTATCATGAGAGAACCCAAGTCAGAAGCAAACAAACACTGGGAAAATAATACCAATGTCTGATATTCTTAGAAGAACAGGGACTCTTTTCCAACTGCAGTTACTGAGTTTAGAGCTATTCTTGTCAGCAGGAGTGGTTAAACACCCCTCAGCAACAAACAGGTTTAGATAACAGACGACTCACAACAACGTAGGACACATTGGTGCTGATGTTCCAGTTCTGTCCTCCCGAGAGCCTCTTAGTCTACTTATGATCAGTGTAGAAAATCCAGTTAAAAACATAAAACCACATCAGGAGTAAATACAGTGGAAATGTTTCTCATTTTTGGTAGAGAAGTAGTCATTTGTGGTTATTTCTGACATTGAGTGTGATCACTTATTTTCTTTTTAAGAAAATGTTCTGACTTGCTGTGGTTATGAGAAAGCCGTACCAACCCCATCAATCCTCTTGCCCTTCTAATGGGCAGCTGGGGTTAACACAGTCTGAGGTTAATTACTGTCATATCAGTGTAAGTGTCCCTACGAGCTGGGCACCTATTTCATCAATCATTCTTCTGTCTCTGTAGCAAAGGACTGATGCAAAAACGTGATGGGTTTTAAGGGCTGGTAGTGAATTTGAGCTCAAACCAGGAGGAGATTGACCAGAAGAATGTGATGCTTCGTGTGGTGGTCAAGGATTGTGAGGTGATGGAAGTCAGAGGTTTGACCTACAGCTTCTCCAGATGATCTCTGATGCACCCATGTGATCATCTGAGATAAGAACCTAAACCAGTATCTCACTGAATTGTGACCAATGGGAACCAGTTAGACACACAAAATTAACACACTAGTGAAAAGTTTTATGTATGA